CCGCCGCCGCCCCCAGGCGCACTGGACGCCCTGTCGCTCAGCAGCAGCCTGGACAGCGGGCTCCGAACACCCCAGTGCCGGATCTGTTTCCAGGGCCCGGAGCAGGTCAGGCCTGGGCACCTGGCCGGGCGGGGAGGGGTGGGGGCGCGCACCTGGGGCGTCCGGGGAGACGGCGACCAGGGGGCGGGGCCTGAGGAGGCTGGGCGGGACCCAGGAGCCGGAGTGGGAATGGTGTGAGGCTTGGGGGCTGGCTGGAGACTCCTGGAGCGCGTGTTTGGGTTGGGAGGATAAGGGGTCCCCAGGAAGAGGTGGAGTTTTCTCCTCGGAGGGATAACAATCCCTGTCACCCATTGACGGGGACAGCCTTCTCTCCTGCTCCTCTCAACCCAGGGTCACCGGTAGGCTGAGGGGACCTATTCTCTTGGAGGTGGGCAGAAAGAAGAATGCTTCTGTTCTCACCTTGAAGGGAGGGGCCCAGCCGGCGTCCTTGCCTAACTCAGTATTTCTCCCCGTGGGGCACTTTTCTTTACTTCCAGTTCCACAACTTTCCATCTCATTCCAAAGAGTATTCTTTGTTAAAATTTTGTGGTCAACGCGGTCCCCGGGTTAGTGCCAGGGGATGTCTCTCTGCAGTGAGGAATGATTCCTTAATTAGAGGGGAACTTCCTCCACTCCCATCCTCAGGATTTCTTCCTTACTGGTAACCCATCCCAGTCTGCACTAGATCTATGATACTTTACAGTGATGGAGTGAGGGAAGGAAGGCATGGCTCAGAAGCTCTGACTCTTCCCTCGCTCCAGATCCTAAGGGGAAGACTTCCCTCTGGAAAGTCTTAGAAACCACCCTTCCCAAATTCTAAGAAAAAAGAAGACCCATTCCTTCTGCCCCCAGCCCTTTCCATCCATCTCCTTGGTATGAGAACTTTCCCATGAGCTCTAACTTCTTTCTTTTCTGCTGCAGCCGTAGTCTCTTGCCCTGTTTGGGGCGAAAGGCCTGAGTTTTTAAAGGTGGGAGAATGACCTGAAGAGGAGGTTTCTCTGTCCCGGAGAGCGGTAGAATGGGGTCTGGGTGGTGATAGCTGACAGGACCCCTCCCCACTCTTCCTCTAGGGGGAGCTTCTGAGCCCCTGCCGCTGCGACGGCTCGGTGCGCTGCACACACCAGCCCTGCCTCATCCGCTGGATCAGCGAGAGGGGTTCCTGGAGCTGTGAGCTCTGCTACTTCAAGTACCAGGTCCTGGCAATCAGCACCAAGAACCCACTGCAGGTGAGATGCAAAGAGAGGACTCTGAGACTGAGCGAGAGACTTTCAACCAACGGAATCAGGGAATTTCCAGGGAGGCTGTTTCTTCTCATTTCCCCTTTTCCCCAAGCCACCCTTCCGCACCATTACCACAGTCTCCTGTGTGTCTGTAAACCTTCCTTCCTTCATTTATTCACAAACACATTTATTGGATGCCACTTGTATTCCAGGCACTGTTCTAGGCACTGAGACAACAAAAAGGGAAAAAATGAGAATGTTGATGATAGCAAACATGTGTTTTCTGTGTGTCAAGTTTTGGTGTGTATTAACTCTTTTAATAATAATCCTGTTAGTTAGAAACCATTATTATCCCAGTTTTACAGATCAGGTCACTGATGCACAAAGAGACTAAAACACTTGCCCAAGGTTACTCAGCCAGTAAGTGATGGAGTTAAGAGCTAGGATTCAAGGGGCCGACCCATGGCTCACTTGGGAGAGTGTGGTGCTGATAACACCAAGGCCAAGGGTTCGGATCCCTATATAGGGATGGCCGGTTAGCTCATCTGGGAGAGCGTGGTGCTGACAACACCAAGTCAAGGGTTAAGATCCCCTTACCGGCCATCTTTAAAAAAAAAAAAAGATCTAGGATTCAAACCTAGGTGTTTTGGCTTTAGAGCACATGCCTGACCTGCCTTTCTACAGTAAGACAGTGTCAGACAGGTGCCACATTCTAAGTTTGATCAGGGCACCGAGAAGATGTTAATCCTGCTTGAAGGGTTTAGGGAAGGCTCCTGGAGCATTCTTCTCTTCAGGGCCACCCGTCACCTAGCTCTCCATCCCTTCTGTGACTTTTTGGAGCCCTTTCTCCCACACAGTGGCAGGCCATCTCCCTGACGGTCATCGAGAAGGTCCAGATTGCTGCCATAGTTCTGGGCTCCCTCTTCCTCGTCGCCAGCATCTCCTGGCTCATCTGGTCCTCACTCAGCCCTTCAGCCAAGTGGCAACGGCAGGATCTGCTCTTTCAGATCTGCTATGGCATGTACGGCTTCATGGATGTCGTCTGCATAGGTGAGGGCACCTTTCTCCTACGTATGTGCTCATCATCTTCTTCTTACTTATGCACTTAGCTTCCCTGCCCATCCTTTCAGTTTCATGGCCATATTTCCTGGGGGTCTTTGGGACCATCCTGGAGCCCTTCCCTTCCCTGCTTTTCCAGGGCCCTTTGTAGCTGTATCTCCTCACTCTGCAGAAATGCTAGCTTAAGTACTTCTGTCCTAGGTCTGGGCAGACGTTGACCCTGGGTTTCTTATCCTTCTTGCTCAGGCCTCATCGTCCATGAAGGCTCCTCTGTCTACCGCATTTTCAAGCGCTGGCAGGCAGTGAACCAGCAGTGGAAGGTCCTGAATTATGACAAGACCAAGGACATAGGAGGAGATGCAGGGGGAGGGACGGCAGGGAAGCCAGGCCCCAGGACCTCACGGACGGGCCCCCTCTCTGCGGCCACCAGCCGTCCCCCAGCCGCCCAGCGCATGCGGACGCTCTTGCCTCAGCGCTGTGGTTACACAATCCTGCATCTCCTTGGACAGCTGAGGCCACCAGATGCCCGTTCCAGCTCCCATTCTGGTCGAGAGGTTGTCATGAGGGTCACCACGGTCTGAACTGGACTCCAGAGCAGGGATCTTGAGTCAGTGCATTAGCCAGAGATGAGCTCTCATGGTTGCTGGAGGTACCACCTGGACAAGGTGTTTGGGGCACACTTCCCCCACCACTGAGGATCTCTGTGGGCAGCCTCAAGCTGGAGTCATTGTCTGGCCTCTACTGCCCACTGGGTGGTGACACCTGGATGATGTTCCAGCCCCCACTGACAACTCCTCACACTCATCTTGAGATGGCCAGTGGGCAGGTGGGGAGTGCAGCTTTTCTTCCCTGGAGAGAACCGTCTTTACCTCAGCTCCTAGGGCCTCCAGCCCCCCAGCTCCACCACGGTGACTTGGTGAAGTGGGACCAATGCCAGAACAAAGGGGCTGTAGACCCCCATTCCCCACCCATGGCCACAGGGCATCTGGCAATAAGACTATTATACATTGACCTCCCGTTTCCCTGCATGAGGGCAGGGGACTTCCTCCTGCTCCACCCCCTATTGCATGGGGGAAGGGCATAAAGAATCATTTATATGCACGTGGAGACTCCTTTCTCATCTGGGGCTTTTCTGGAGGGTTGGGAGGTGTGAGGAGGTTTCTCCGCACAGGTTGCAAATCCCAGATGCAGCAGTGTGTTCTGAATTGGAGATGTGACTCCCACTTGCTGGTGAATAATTCACTCTGGCTGCTAGGTGGCAGTGCACAGAGTTATCTAAGGGGTGGACCTGCCACCTGTGATTTGTGATTTAGGAAAAAAAAAACCTCTCCGCTATGGTTGTCCTGTCTACCTCATAGGGTTGGAATGAGGATTAACAAGAGACAGTTTGGATGCCATTGCAAAGAAAATCAGTAATGGCATGAAAAAGATTTGTAGACTAGTTGATGGTCCATTTATTTCACATAGTAGCTGGTATAGCAACTTTTAATATATGTTTTTCATCTGGAGTTGCACAAAACCTTGCAATTTTATGTTGAGTAACATAATAGATATGGAAATATGAGGAGAAATTGACATTGCAAATGTGAAGGATGGTGGTTGTTTGTAAAAATGAGAACTTCTCCAATCCTCTAAACTTTGGGGCTGGGAGCCGGGGAAGGTTGGAGCCATCCGTCTTGTTCTGGAGATCATCTGGGTTCTATTAGTTCTTCCCGGGTACTGTGCTCACCCAGAAAAGTGGTGTGAAGTGAATTTGGACTCATTTGGAGTGAGATGGAGGGAATCCCCTAATGGTTTGAGTCTCCAACCCCATTTTAAGTTATTTCCTATGGCAGTTCAAGAATAGACCTGCAGGGGCCGGCCTGTGGCTCACTCGGGAGAGTGCGGTGCTGATAACACCAAGGCCATGGGTTCGGATCCCATATAGGGATGGCCGGTTTGCTCACTGGGTGAGCATGGTGCTGACAACACCAAGTCAAGGGTTAAGATCCCCTTACTGGTCATCTTTCAAAAAAAATAAAAAAGAATAGACCTGCGAAGGTCTGATCCTGTTGTGCCCACTTAGTGGTATTAACTGGACAGTATTGTGCTTGGAGGCAGTGCATAGAGGACTGTTGTTTATAGAGAAAAGATTTGGGAAGGACTGGTTAAAATGTGGGTTAGCCTGAAACCTAGTCCCTTTCTCCTGAGGCCTTGGGGCTGCGTATTATATGAATGATGGTGTCTTTTAAGTGAACTATTAATCAGCAATTAAAATAATTCCTTCATATATTGCTAAAGTCAGATCCAGAGGCCTTTCTTATTATTGGTCCTTCTCTCAGGGAAGGTTCTGCTCTGCCTCCTCTCTGGGGATGTTTAGGAGAAAATGCTTCTCTTTTGAAGGACCAGATATCCTTGCCCAGGAAACCTTGATCCTCTTCCCCACTCCAAAAGGGGTCTTGGCTGCTCTCCATGGTGCTGGCACCCAGACTCTCCCGGGGGTGTAGGAACCAAAGCACCACTGGGATCTGAGTCACCTTGAAGTGTGGATACATATCACTTCCAACTTCTGAGGGGATCACAGTGGATAGGGAACTGAGGCTGAGCCCTCCATCTTCCCAATGGGAAACTTTCCCCAGAGAGATAACCCTCTACACTCCCCACCTGGTGAGACCGAAAGGCCAGACTTTTACTAATTTGCTGTTCACAGAAGAGCTGATGGGGACCAGATGGGAGACAGCACATCAGAGTGACTATTAATACTTATACTGGTGGATAGGGCTTAGGTAGACATGACACAGGTGGAGCTCTCTGTGCCAAGCCTGGGCTTTCCCCTGTGGTGGCTCCAAATGGAAGCTTAGACATACCCAAGAACAGAGACACATGAACACACTGTCTTTATTTCCACTCTGGATCCTAAAGCCAGGCAGTCAGTAGGTTCTCCTCTCTTTCCCTTTTCCAACTTAAAGAGATCCTGTCCAGGAAAGGGATCATAGGAACTGCTGCCCTCCTCAAGTGGGGAGTGTGAGTGAGTAGAATTCTCATCACTGTTCCAGGAGAAGGGCTCTGACAGCAAATGGGGCTTTATTCTCCCTCAAAGCTCAAATTTGCTAAAAATCAGATCATTTAGGATCAAATTGAGCTTAGTGATGGGAAGCAGGGGTGGAGACTGAGTGTACAGCAGAGAGGGAGTTGAAAAGATTGGCATTAAATGCACAAAAACCTTGGTCTCTGCACAATGCTTTGGGTATGCCCTGCCCTTCTGTAGATCTCGCATGATTAGATAGACACCCCCCACCCCCCGAAAGCCTGGTGGCTAATGGAGTTTCTGTGGTCAGGGAACCATGTCCAGGTCAGGGGGCTGAGGAGGTGCAGAGGAGGAAGAAGTGTGAAGTGAAATCTCCATCTACACCCAACTAATTGGAATGGGGTGGGGGTCAGGAGCTGGGGAAGGAGGGCAAGTCCTGACGTGGGGAGGGTAATTTGGGATGCAGAGGGAGCTGCGTGGAGTGTGCTGAGAGATTTATTTGGATGGAAGATGAGTTAATCTGTATACATCACAAGGGGAGAGCTGTGCCCAGTCTTTGGGGGGCCAAAGAGTGCTGACTCAGGGAAACAGAGGCTCCCTCTGCCCACCCTCCTTCTCCCGCCTCAGTGCCCCAGGGCTTCTGGCCACCCCCCCACTCAGCTTTAATTCTGTCTTAGTCCTCTTCTCTGACTATATCCTTGTCTTTCTCTGAAGGAAATTATCTTGGAGCAACTTTTCCAGAGAAGGCAAAGAGGCCATTCTAGGACTTCCTTCAATCCTGGCAGTCCAGGTTCCAAAAGTACTTCTCTTACCAAAGAGTCAGTGGCCTCCACCCATCTCTGCAAATCCCTAGCGCCCTGACCCATCTTACGACTTAGCCCCTGCAGTTCCTTTTCACTGCCACCCCCTTAACCTCTTACAGGGAGCCAGACTAGAATTGGCTGTTCCCACTACAGACAGAAACATGTCTGGGTTTGTGTTGCAAACCACTCCTCCAGGAATCCAAACCTCCCATTGTTATGGGGGTCACTTCCAGGACCTGAGAAACCAAAGTGAGAGATGGGGTCTTGTAGGAAGTGGGAGTGGGAGAGAAGTCAAAAGTCACAGTGGAACATTGAATTTTTTATTTCAAAACTAAAGATTGTGTATATATATATATATATATATTTTTATTTCC